CCAGGGATTTATAAAACCTATGCAGAAAAAGTCTTAATGAAATTGTATAACGGCAATTTCAAAGTTTGTTGGACTCATGCAGATGGAGGAAAATTTATTTCATTTAAAGAAGCATACTTAGCTGATCGTAAAACAGCGGATATTAATGAAATTTTAGCGGCTCAAAATATACAAATTATAAAATTAACAGAAGAACAAATAAGCCATTTTAAGGTTCTAGAAAGAACGGTCAAGAATCAGATTGTACAACCTTTAAAAAAAATTAATCCACAATTAGTTTCTCACATTTTTCGGAGTAATCCAAATATAGATAACGTATCTCATGAAAGCATATTTAGTTTGCTAAAATTTATCATTCAAGATAAGGATTTGTCTCGAGAAAGTCTCATTGGATTAAAGCTGCTACCACTTAGTGATGGGACTGTTGGAATATTTGGTGATCAGGAACGTTATATTGCAGAATCAAAACTGCAAAGACTATTCCGTGATGCAGCGAAATTATCGAAATTTATAGCAGAATATCCTAAAGAACTTAAAGATCTTTTCAATGATAAAAAATTCTGTAATTCAGCTAAAATTAAACAAATAAATGCATCTTCAATAATCACTTTATTAGAATATGAGTTACCACGCGATAAAGAATTAGATTGGAACCCGAATAATAAATATTATCCAAATAAAGAATGGATCAGGCAAATATTAAGATATTTTGTGCCTCTAAATGCGGCTTATGAATTTTCGAAATTTGCAAGACTTCCATTATTGCCAATAATTAAACCGCAAGAAAAGCTTGTATTATTTGATTATCTAAATCCAGTATTAGCCTATGATTCCTCGAATCCGATGACTTCAATTCTTGTTAAATTTGGGGTTAGATTTACAAATCATGAATTTCCAGATGAATGTAATCAAAATTTAAAACAATGCATATTGAAATCAAATTTTATTAATATGATGAAATGCCTTGAGAGAGCTATAACACTGTCTAAAAAATCAGTGGAACAACTATTTAGCGAAACATTAAAGCCATTTGAAATTAATAACTTTAGAAACTTTGTTACAAAAGCATTCAATAGTAGTTCGAGTAATTCAAGTAATTAATATTTTTATTTATATAATAAATGTTACATACCCACAACTAAACAATAATAATAATATTTAATTTTATATTTTACATTTAATAGAAAATAAGAAAAATGCTGTCATACCATTCCTTAAAACATTACCAATTTGGCCAACTAAGTCGTTGGGAATGAATACTTTTATATCTGCAAATTCTGGATTATTAATTCCACAAGATCTTCCGCTTTTTTCATCAGAAGAGAATTCCAAAGTTTTTAATGCAGAATCGGAAGATGATTATTGTACATTATATGCGCTTGAAGTTCAAATATTAGATCCATTAGAATATGTCAGGAATAATATTATCCCTTACTTGTTAGCCTTAGGGCCTACTAATGAAAGTTTAGATTTATTAAAATCTGTCATTTCATTAGAAAATAAAGACATTGAAAGCTGTTTGGCGCTGTATCCTATAATTCCAAATAATTCATTAACAAAGCTTGTTAAAGCGAATGAACTATATGATAGTAACAATTACTTATTTTATTCAACATTTAATGAATCTGATAAGTTTTTACATCGGGATTTATGTTTAAATTCAGAATGTTTTGAGGCGATAAAAAAGATGGGATTAAATTACCAAGTTGGTTCCCAAAATTTCTTGGACTGTGCTTATGAAATTCAATCAAAAATAGATAATAATACTATCAACATTAATGACACATCGTTATATGCTATAAGATATTTGTATCAAAATTATTCAAAAATGAAGTTCACCAAAAATCAATTGCAAGAGTTGATAACTATAAGGTTTATACCTGCTGACTTGGATCTTCCATACCTATATGCAGAACATGCAAAGGAAACTTCAACAGGATTTGAATCATTTATTTCATTACGTTGCCAAGCTTATAAAAACCTTTGTTGGACTCAATGTCCACTATTTAATAAATCTATAGATCCACCTGCATCATTTTTAAAATCAATAAACCAAACCGGTCACCCGACAATTGATGAAATTATAAAAAATTTAATAATTATTGCTTCAAAAATATCCAAATCATCAGACGATTCTTCTTGGAATTCACAAAATGGAGTTAAAATATTTTTAGAAATATTAAGCGAAAATTATTATATATTAAATCAAATAGTAGAAAGTTCAAATGATGACAAAATTTTCATAGAAAGTAATTTACCAAAAGACGCCAAGTTATTCTTAAATAATGATGTTGATCCTTTTAATCCCAATAATTGGGTAGCAGGGCAAGATATAGTTTTCGGGGTGGAGGATGATGTTACTGTTGAATTGCGTAAGGTCCATCCGTTTTTAAAAGATTACAAAAAATTATTAAAAGTCTTGGGTGCTAAAGAATTGGAAAAAATTAATTATAAAGTTAAAGTTAGGAAACATTCACAGAAAGATGAATTGTTTAAAAAGTTGTTGGAAAACTTTAGGCAGCAAGAAGAAATTAAGCACGACGTTTTGTTTGAAGTTGGCGAAAATAATACTTGTATTGAAAAGATCTATGCCAACAGTTATGTTCTTTCAGGTATTTGTATTTCTAATAGTTTGTATTTTATTATTTGGTGCACATGAGATTTATATATATTGTTCTTCAATTATCTGTTATAGCTGCATCTTCACAATTTGAGATGCTTCTAAACAATAGTTTTAATTACAAATTCTCAGGATCTCAAAGAGTAAAAATTGTCAAAATTGAGGGAACTAAACCTCAAACATTCAGAATATATGGAATCCAACCTTCTGCATTCCGTATATTGATCCGTTGGTTATATGGTCAATCATATAAGGAAGCATTTTCTGAAGTTTTTAATAATAATTTCCCGCAAGCTTTAGTACTTTTAATTAGCTTAATTATACTTTCTGATAGATTTGACCTAGATCCTTTAAAAGATCATGTGGAAGAAGCTATAATTAAAGGGCCCTATATTAATATTAATAATGTTGATAAAATTAAGAGAGAGGCTCAAATTAATCGGGCTACCCAACTACAAAGCCATTGTGAAGAATATATAAAGAAAAATGAAAAGCTTTTCTGAAATTAAATTATGCATAGTGAAAATTTGCGGTATACTGAACTATGGTATCAAAAGAATGAGATAATAAATTGTTATAAAAGAAATTTTCTCCCGGGTCATGCTGTATATATCTAGTATTTAGCGTATAGATACTAATTTAATATTTATAAATTTATATTTTGTAATCATTAAAATATATTTTTTTTATTATTATAATTATATATTAAATTTTAAAATTAAAATAAAATGCTCTTTTAATTATAAAAAATATCACAGTAATAACTTTAATAGATTGGGGAATCATACTGTAATCAGTGAAAATGTATAGGCACTTCTTTACAGAAACCTATATATTTTGATAAATATATTTACAGTATAGTTAAAATATTGTTAAAATATTGTTAAAATATAATATTCTATTAACTTACTTACAACTAACTTTTTAATAGCTTGTTATTAGCTAATAAAAATTTTTAAAAAATAACGTTATAAAATTAATCATAAATATTTATAAATTAATGTTATAATTAAAATTCGAAATAGACAAATTATATATAAAATTGGTCAAAGAATATTT